GCTTCCCCCCCAAGAGTGAAAATAAAGTAAAAGGTCTTTCATGGTAAACAAAACCAGCTTATTCTCCACATAGAACACATGAATAGCTGGAAAAAAAACTTACAATAAATGGTGCATTTTTTTCTCTGCTGGGTATAGCATTCAAGATCAGTCCAGTATTCAAGAAGCAGTCCATTTTTTGCTCAGCAAGAGAGTTTAGAAAAGAAGCGTGGGGTCTATTCAAGGATCTTTTCCCCCTTCACAATTGCTGGGCTTTATGAAACCTATCTTCCATGCCTTGTCAGAGTATTTCTGGGGACCAATTAGTGCTTTGTTGCAAGGCTTCTTTGCTGAATCTTTGAGCAGCAAGAAAAAGCTCTCTTGAGTCTCCCCTTATTTTGACTATTTCAGTCATTACTCAGTGTAATAATTAATATGACAACTGGACGCTGAAGTTTGTATAGAAACACCTCGGCTGCAGGAGAGAGCGTGCAGTGGGTGGTAACAAGCTACACATCAGACCGAGAAGCCACACACACAAGGAAAGGAGAAAAAAAGGAGGGAGAGAGAATAATGAATGAAAAGAAAGAGAGAAAGAATAAAGATAAATAAATAGTTGGTGCAGGCCGAAGAAACATAATACAGACTTGTAAGGAAAAAAAAAAGGCACTTAGGGGGGGGGGGGGGGGGGGGGGGGGGGGGGGCGACCCCAGGGAGGTAAACTTATTTTGAAACAGTTTTTATGTGAATATAATTTTCAAAACTTTGCTACTTTCAAAAGTCAGGAAAATTATTTCTTCTGACGGTTGTTTCTTGTAGTAAGTAATTTTCAAGGGGCATCTGTTTACACTTTTGCATACTTGATAAACTTTAACGCCTCTTCCTAAGCGTCCCCTTATGGAAAGAAGAACTTGGAGCATTAAACCGTATTCGTGAGTAATTGTTGCCCATCCTGCCCAGGGTGGAGGGAGGCTGGTTCTTGGGACAGGAAGTTGTTCGAGTTTTCTTGGCGTTGTATCATCTACAAGAGGAATAAAGCCTGTGCTCCAATGAAGAATTAAAAATGACGTTTGACCAGGGACACTGCTGAATTCTCCTCGAAAGGCGTCTTGGGATGAACGCTCATCACTTTGCAGACATTTCTTGGGCTGCCAATTAGGGCATAATAAATAATTAGAGGTTTTAAGCATATTAGATACAGCTCATGCTAATGAGCTACATCAGGTCTTGTGCTAACCTGAAGTGACAGTTTGCATATAGGGCTGCAAAAAAAAAAAAAAAAAAAAAAAAGGGAAAAAAAAAAGCTATCCGCCGAGGCAGCTTTTCCCCCCGCGGCCCGGGCCCGCTCGCCTCTCCGCAGCTTCCGCGGGTTTCCCCGGGCGCTGCCGCCCGGCCCCCACCGCCCTCCGCACCCGCGGAGCGAAGCCCTTCGCCCGCCAGCCCCGCCGGGTGGTCCCATTGTGCGGCCACGAGTCCCGCGTCCGTCTCAGCCCCGGGGGATAAATCACACCGGGCTGTCCCCCCGCCTCCCCCCAGCGCCACTTCTTGGAGAGCTAAATTTTGGGACCTGGGGGTAAGGGGGTGTTTGTTTCCGGCGCCTCCGAGGCGGCTGTCCCCTGTCGGGGGTGAGAGAGGGTTTGGGTGACGCCTGCCGCAGCCTGGGAGGCGGATTCCCCTCGTTCCCCGGGGAGCGCAGGAGCGGGGACAGCCGAGGTCCCCCCGCTCGCACCAGCGGTCTCTGCCGTGAGGACACAGTGCCACCTCCCGGCCACTCTCGCCCCGGAGGGAAGGAGCCAGGGGAAATCCTCCGGGGAGGGCGTAGTTGGGGTACATCCAAAAAGCATTAACGTTTTGGGCAGCCCGGGTCTGTAATGAGAGGGCATATGGCCGGGCGGTTTTGCAGCCACGGAGCAGGCTGGGGCGTGAGGACATTCAGCCTGTCTGGGGAGCAAAGGAGAGCTACACCACTCCGAGACCTCTGGTAAACGCATACACGATATCGAAAAGGGGGGCTGCCCCCTGCCATGCTCACACGCAAATCGCCTGAGATACCCACGGATTCCTAATCTGGGAATGTTTCGTGAGTTCCTGTTTTCACTAGAAAATCTCCCCTCCCCCCCTTCCCCATTGCTCCCCCACATCGATTGGGACATTCTGAACCAGCAGGGAAAAGACAGATCGTGTCCTTGCACAGGAAGGGACATCCCTGCCCAGATAAGAAGACTCACAGGTCTAGGGAAGCCACCACTCTGCAAATACTGGCTAATGGCAAAGGCAGGAAAGAGCAGTTTGAAAAGCAGCCAAAGTCCGTGGCCCTTTGAACTTGCATTGTGCCTGCCAGGGGAGCCTGCCAAATTTCAGTGCAAAGAGCCCTGTTAGGCTGAGCAGCATATCCAGGAATGGATGCATGTGGTGTGTTTGCATGTGTGTGTGTGTGTGTGCAACCAAAGTGTGTGTTTCTGAGGGAGAATGTGTGTTTTTAGGTGAAAACAATGTGGGACATTAGCTGCATATGGTTGAAAGGAGTGGGGTTGAATGATGCTGCAGCAAGAGCCCAGAGCAGGATTGGTAGACTCAAAGCTCAAGTGCTCATGCAGGGGCCACCGCAACTTGAAACCCCAGTGGGAATTCACAGTTAGCAATGTCATTGCAGGGGGATGAACCTGTGCTTGGTGTGCTGAACTAGTACTTTAAAGAGGACAGGGAAGCTCCAGCAATTTGGACTCTGAAATGGTCCAAGGGAACCAATTCTGATGCAATTACGTGTTCCTACTGTAACGGCACTGGGCACACACTCCCACACCCCTACACACACCTCTTTGCTCCAGAAGAAGAGAATTTGGGAATTCCTGTTGGCAAGCAGGAGCTTTGCTTCCCCTAGCCAGTGCCTTTTGCTACCAGGCAGCCTCTGATAGTCCAGAAGGATTAAATAGTGAACTGGTGGCTATACACTGGTGATACTATTATGACTATGTATCAAAAAGGGATAAGATTGCAACATAAGTAGAAAAAGCAGGGAGTAGAAGGAGGCAAAATAAATAGTTACAATAAGTTGGGAGGAGCACTACTTCGCATACCTGATGTTTCACTTTTACTTGCCATTACCATCAGGTAGAGTGAAAATGCATAAGAAAAGAATGGAAAAAAAAGGGGAAAAAAAGGCCAAAAGCGTGTAGAAGCTACAGAGAAGTAAAAGAGATAGATCAAAAATTAGCGAGAAGAGAAGGAATAAAAAAAAGAGGAAGGCACAAACAAATGACAGAAAGAAGGGTTTATGATTTTGGATGCCACAGTTACTTTGGCCAGCCAAAAGACATGCATTTGATTTTTTTTGAAATCTCACTGAAAAATATACCAAGTAGGAAGCTTTCTCAGGGTGGCCTTCAGCATCCCTGTAATGGCTAAGACTGTGTCTCAAGCTGCACAAACACAGGACACAAAATATGGGCTATTGTAGTGAATTTACTGGCTGAGTAGTTAAAAAACAGTAGTTTTTATACTGCTGGCAATTACTGAGGATAACCTCCCTTTCCCCTCCTGCTCCATCTTTCCTTGTCCCCTCCTGCTCCCACAATGCCAACAGGGCCCAGTGTGTTATATGTGCTTCACGTCTGCCTTGACCTGCCAGCCCATACTATAGGCTTGCTGATCATTTCAGAAATTAACTTTCTACCCCTAAATGCAACTTCAGGATGTAAAAAGAAGCAGCTTTTCTGAAGAATGTAGATATTTGCATCCAAAGAACTGAGTTACTTCAGGTCCATGTTATACAGTTGATAGTTTCAGTAAAATGGATTCTGACCCCATAGTCATGAGGTTCAACATGAGTTTGGACTAAGATCCCTGGAGGTGGCTCTGCTCAGTTTCCCTACTGCAACACTGATTGGATTTAGCAGCTATTGGATTTTGTAAGTACCAACAATTCACAGTAAGTCTTTGTTAGTGTTCACCAATCCGAGTTTACGCTGGTGCATGCAATAGAACTTCCCTCAAGGCTAGAATAAATCTGAAGAGAATTTATCTTCATTACAAAAATATAGCAAGATTACCTACCTTGACATAGTTTGTTAGACTTGATCTTCCCAAATGGCAAAATAGATACTTGCCCAGTCACTTTATTTTTCCACCTGCTCTCCCATACCGGGGTACCGCTTTCCAATATTCCCTTTACACCTTTGGTGACTCTTTCTAAACCAAATCTGGGCTCTTTCATATCAATACTTTACTAACATTTTCTGAAATAATTTATGTCCCCCACCCTGTCTCCCTTGTTGCTTTCCATGGCTTACGCTACATACAAGAGTACATACATCTTCTAGATCCTTCTGCCCTAGAGCTCTGACCTAGTCTTTCCTTTTCCTTTTCTTCCTTTACCTTCTTCCCTTTCTCCATGTTCAGGTTCATATCCCAGTGTGAGGTTCATGCATCTAAATCCTGTCTCATGCTTCCCTTACACTGAGTATCTCTTTCCAGTGTCTAATGAGTGATGTCTTCTGCTCTCTGACCTCCTGGAAGCACCCCAAAAAGCCCTATTAAAGGACAAATCCCTCAGCTGCTGTGCTGTGGGCAGAGCCTAACGTGCCTGGCTTCTGACATCCAATGAGCAGATCCTGGAGAACATCTGATGTCTGTTCAAGTAGAGAGACATCCAATGGGAAACCCACCTGAGGCTGAAAACACACTGAGGCTGCAGTGGGAATGGATGGGCAGGAGGCTGAACCGAAAACGATGTGTTCAAGAAATGAAAACAGCTGATGTTGATCAGCAGAAGGAAGACTGTTAATTCAGAGCATGCTGCTTGTCCACGTTGGGTGCAGATAGAAACAATATGCTGGAGAGCCGCTGTGCGCAGGCGTGGGATTCACCAGGGGTGGCCGGTGTGGAGCGGCTTGTTCACGTGCCAGGGGTGGGTGGGGTGGGCGTGCAGGGAGAACGCCCCCTTGGCATGTTGTCCAGGGGAGGGAGCTGGGGAAGGGGAGGGGAGGGATGGTTTTGCCTTGCTTGCTCCACTTTAAATACCTTTGCACAGAGTTCTGTCCACTGCAGTTAGGTCAGAAACCTTCACCTGCCTCCCTGTGTGGGCATCGCTGCCTCTGCAACATGGACTCACAGCACTGCAAAATGAATGGTGACCCTTTCCAGGTAGGTGATGGGGTCTGTGTGCCTGCCTTTTGCAGAGGGGTGCCTGTCTGCCTCAATCCTGTTTGCAAATCTTGTCCCCCACTTTCTGAGAGCCACTTTGACCCAAGATGGGAGGAATCGACATGGATTGTTTTGATGCCTTGCGGTGTCTGGTTGCCACTGTGCTCTCTTTGGGCAGCCCCCATCCTTGTCTGTTGTTAATTGTGCTCACAAAAGTGCAGTAAGAATGCAAATAAACATTGCAGCAGTATCCTTGCATACATGGCAAAGAGAAGAAGAAGCAGAAAAGACCAGCAGTTACTAGAAGTCTTAAACCTGTGTGATGAAAGGAAGCTGTCTTCTTCTGTTAAAGAAAAACAGATGAACTTATGTGTCTTCTAGTGGAGCTATTTGTTGAATTTTTGGACTCTGATGTTCCCCTTTTTAATGTTTACTGACTGTGAACCTTTTGCTTTGGGAAATACAGGAAAGTCCTGAAGCCCATGCCCTTCGATTACAGGACCTAATGTTACTGTAGGGACAAGTGACATAACCTGAGGCCAGCATGGTTAATTATTAGGACCAAATTCAACACGTGTGTGTCCTATGCAATGCTCCTGAAGCCAGAGAAAAGTTGTATGAGATGTGCAAAAAAAGGCTTCAATTTCTACAAACCTTTTTAAGAGCTGCCAAGGAAGCCTGTTTTTCTACTGCTTTGTGTGCTGAGGCTGAACTCCCACAACAATTCTATAGGGTCTCACCTCGCTACTTATCCAAGTTACGTAATTGCTTGGTCCCAACAACATCTGTGGGAGATCAGCATTTAAATGCCTTAAGAAATCTGACTTGGAAAATAGTTCCATTTTCACAAGTAACTTAGGAATATTATTTCATTTGAAATTATTTTTCACTTTTTTCCCCTAGAATTTTGTATATCTAGTAAGTCTGGACTTTACAACACAGAGGTTAAAAATTTTGTGTCCCTGAAATTGCAAGAAAAACTTTCTCTGGCTTTAGCAGTGTTGGAATTCACTCTGAAGGGCTTTATCTAAACAGCTCATAAATGGATTAGAAGGCTGACAAGATTATGTTGTTGAGCCCCAATACCGTCACAGGTGTCAGAACAGCAATATCAATCTATGTGCAGAGTGGTTAACTAAAAATGAAGATCTGCATGGTGCTGAGGTAAACCTGTCCTTGCATCTTCACATCACTTATCTTTGTGATTGTACTGGGTCCAGGAATGGTTGTTCATGCTCATCAAATGATTCTTATTTTACTGGAATAAAAAAGGATCTAGAAGAAAATTAGAGCTTAATTTATTCCATTCTACATTTGTATATGGGCTGTTTGATATTGTCCTCAGTGTGTATTGATGGACATTGCCTCTATATGTATTGACAAGAACTGGGTACCAGGAAAATAATCATTTCAGTCTTCTTTCCCTCTGAAATTAAAGCAAAGAAGGTCTGTCTGTGGGCAGAGTCAGGCATGAACTGATGCTTGCAAAAAGACCTTCCAGTGAACTGAGTGCATATGCAGATGGGCGAGAAGTTAAGCAAGTATGATGCTGTTTACAGTGTTGGTGCCCACTCTCACTGCAGTGTGTCTTCCTTTTAAGCACCAATATAAATCAGTTTACAAGAGTGGGAAAATGACTGGGGACGGATTGAAAGCAGCTGATCTCAACACATCAAAACTAATGACCAATGAGTTTTTTAAGGCATTTTTGTGTAATCTTATCATATAAAGAGATCAATTATCATCAGAATTACCTTGCAGGACTTAAACCTTCCATTATATCCCCTGGAAGTATCCAAACCGCAAATTCTTCATTTGTTGTGCAGATTCAAGTCAATCTGTCGTATGAGTTGGTCCTCACAACATGACTTGGCAAGAGTATTTTAAATATATAACTGCATGTCTTTTAAAACAGTTTCATTTCAGACCATGAAACCCAAATTCTCAATCCATCGGGCAGACACTAATGTAGCACAGTTTTGGCTTTGCTGTGTGAAAACAGAAGGACAAACCAATGCATGGGCAGTATTTGAAATGACAGTTTTGGTTACACTATCATAAAATTTCTGTACTACAGACATTTGGTTTGACTTTTGCCAGACTCCTGTCATTGTTTTCCCTTGTGGTTGCTTGAGGTGTAAATGGGTTTCATTAGACAGCTGACACACCACTTCCAGCTGCTTTTCCTCTTGGTCCTCACCATGTAAGAGCTGGGCTGACTCCCTGGCTGGGTGAGGACCCAGGAGAAACAGAGGTGCTGTGGTAAATATCACAGCTGAACAGATGGAAATCTTCCTTCCGGTGCATAAAGCCAGTACTTCTGCTATAGTTCCAAATAGAAGTTTCCCATAAAGGTAAAAAAACATTTGGAAAACCTTTGCAGCCTCTGGAAATACAGCCAGATAGAAAATGTGTTGCCAGTCTCTGGAAATAAAATCTCAGGTTAGCAGCAGCCTTGGAGGCAGCCTTGGAGACAGCCTGAAGAATCAGCAATTATTTACTTTACGAAAGAAGGCAGTTCTTCATAGCTCTGGAAATGTAGACCCACCAAGAACTTGATGTCTTCAGGGCAACTGGATTTGCTTATTAATTTGTCTTCTACAAAGGCTATTTTTTCTGAGGACAATATTTGGGAATTGAGACTCTTTACACTCTGATTTATATGTTCAATTAAGCAATAGCTATAATGAGGACAGGCTCTGACTGAAAATACGGATCTTCATAAAGTAAAATTGATTGGGTACCTTGAATCAAGTTTTGGCCTGGGCCTTGTTTCATCGGGACCCATCTGTGTTGCAGATGTCTGGTGTGATCTTTGAAATACCAATCAGGGGCAATTTGCCCAAGGCCAGTAGAAGTTAAAAAGAAATGAAACAAACCAGCAAATAAGACATTAATGTGACTCCCAAAAGTTTGTGATGGTTGTGCATCAAATTTACTCTGACATCAGAAAAATTAATTGATTCTTGAAATCTCAGCAGGCCATGTCAAGTACCCAGATAGTCTTGAAAATCTGGCTCCACTCCAGGATTCAGTTTTCTATTTCTTAAGTGATGAAATAACTCTTCCCTACTTAACAGGGCTTTTGTGAAAAGAAACACATGTACTGAGGCATGCAAAGACATTCTAGTAATGAGAACCATGAAAATAGTTAAAATAAACATTCTTCTTTCTTGAGAACACTGGAAATTGCCTTTTGGAATTTGCAGAGCAGAAAATCAATAAGAGAAACAGAACAAACATAAATAAAAACACATCTTGACCTAACTGAGTCTTTACTGACTGTGGGATTTAGGGAAGATTTAAATGTATGCTCCAATATTTATTCCTTTTTTGTTTCTTTTACTTTCTTTGTTTGATGTCATTATTTTGTTTTTAAATCACCTTCCATATACCTCTTGTGAATATGTCCTCTCTCCTGGGGATATCTGGAAGGTACAAGGAGAAATGAAATGAATCATAGATCATGGTCTGCACCTCTGCACAGAGCTGGTCTACATTGCTCCACTTAATCCTGAGTGTTAATGAAAAGAAAGCCCGAGGAAAGGACTTTGCACTGTAGCTGAAACCGAAGTGCAGTAATGTTTCCAGTCATCCCTGAGCTTGATATACCTGACAGATGAAGCCAGGTAGAGATGATATTGGGTTATTTTCATGTCCTTTTTAACTGCCTTGCTCTCACAAGACCCAAGTTTGAGAGAAAGGATTTGTGTCTCTACCATCATGAATTGGAGCAGCCCCAGAGCTGCTCTACTTCTGGCATCAAAGTTGCCTTGATTCCCACTGAAAGGTATTGTATACCCTCTTTACCTTGCTGATGTAGTGCAAAAGGGAAATGAAGAAAAGTAAAACTGACTCCCAGTGTAAATCTGTTTTGTTTGTGTGTTTTCTTTTCTGTCCTTTCAGGAATCTATGTACATTGAAGAGTCCCAAAATAAAAATGGTGTGATTTCTTTGATTTTCTCTCTGAAAGAAGAAGTTGGGGCATTGGCTAAAGTCCTGCGCACATTTGAGGTAAATATTTTCCTTCAGGAAACCTGACCAGGTCTTTACAATTTTGTATTGCAGTAACATTTTTTCAGGGTATTTGAGATCACTTTTGTTATTCTATTTCATTGCCATCACGGGGGAAAGCAGCATGCATTTCTTTTCTGGGCTTACAATCCCTTCAAGTCTTGGAGCAGAAGTAGCCTTTTTAAGTTAAAATTTGATTTCAAACCCCTAAATTAAAACCTTTACCTTTGACGTGAGAGTGGAAAAAATGCATTTTTTTTCACTTAAGAAGGAAATATTCCACTGTAACTGCTTGAGTAAGAGGTAGGAGTGAATTGGCCATGACCTAACATTGACTTAAAACCAAATAATTTGCCTTATAACTTGTAAGGCAAATATAACATGCATGTGAGCCATGTGACTCATACTGCATGTTGCATGAAGCATTTCTACTGGGGGCAGCTACTGTCCTCTTGGCTCTTGTCCACCTCAGTAAATCTGATATAAATAAACCCACCATCTCCCACCTGTGAGAAGTACCTATACTTCTACAGAGTCAGTAGAGGGTACCTGCAAAATAGCATCAAAATTACAGTACTTTGTTTACACCGAAGAGATTTAACTTGTACTGACTGATTTGGGAAGCTTTTGGGGAAACAAGGAGCCATTTACCTTTCAGGACATTGTGTGCCTATTTATTTTTGTAGAAATATTTCCCAGATGTCATGAATGCTGTTTAAAAAGCACGAAATCCCTGCAATTCATGATGGTTGTGTTGCAACACACACAACTGTGTACTCTGTGTTCCCAAACAAATACACTGTTATATTGGTTCTGTGGCTTTTTTTTTAGATCCTCCTATAATATTTGTGCCTGAAAACAGCAATTTCTCTAGAACACTGTAAGAAGGTGTGGCTTGCTTATTTTCCATTCGTAAATTGAATTTACTAGGAAATGAAAGATTTATGTGTTATTAGTACAAAGAAAAAATAATTATGAGTTATAGGACATATTTGATTCATTAGGATGAAAGGAAATTCATGCCACTGACAGCAGAGCTAGTCTAAATCTGTGAATTGACCACTGTAACATAGTCCTGTAAAATGTCTGTATGTCAATGATGTGCATGTCTGTAAGTGAATTGACTGTTGATATTCGCTTATTAAATGCATTACTGTCTAATAACAAAATTGCTGTCAGCTCTAAAGAAAAATCTGTAGGAGAGCTAGTATAGAAAAGAGAGAAGTAGGCAGTTCTTGGATGTGACTTCTCTTGCCCCAAAGCAGATACCTAAACTAGGCTGTCTGAGTCATGTTTTTTCTCAGTGACCCTGATGGCAACTGAGGAGTTGGGACTCGGCTAAAGGTGCCTGCACTGTCGGCTGGGTGGTTTTCCATCCCAATGAAGCTAAATCTTTCTGTGCTAACTTTTAGTCTCCTCTAGCACCAGGGGTTGGCAAGAAACCTGTGCATATGTGCTCTTATATCAGTTTTACATGCTGTCGACAATGTAGTGGAGAAGTGGATGTGTGCCTGGAAGAAAGGGATTTAATGGTGCAAGCCTGACCTGCCACTTCAGCTCCTCAGGGCTATTGTTAGTGAATTCCTGCTGTGTAAACCAGAGCGGCCCTTGGGCTGTTCTAACACAGTTCAAAGAACCTCACCCTCTGCACAGTGGTGTAAGACATACACATGCACAGGGTAACCTCCACCCTTTTCCACCTGGGCCATGACTATGGTACCTCAGAGACACAGACTTTGTGCTCAGTGGCATCCACAGCAGAGACAGGGAAAGTGGTAATATGCAGATGAAGAGTGGGAACAAAAAGGAAGAGCTTGAGAGAATTTTTTCATCTTGTACTCCTTCACTGCTTAATAACATCAATTGTGAGATGCTATGGGAGTTAGTTCAGACTCTCTGGTGATGGGCTCCTCTGAGCAGGGAGATACCTAGCCTTGTCCCCTGGTTTCTGTCATCAGCTTATTGCTGGCCTGAGGAAATGCAGTGGGTTTGTCCCAGGGGGACATCACAAGGAGAAGATGTGAGGATGGCTGCTCTGTCTGTCATTGCTTCATGCAACCGCATGAAGTAGGAAACAAGGAAAACAAAAAAGCCACAAAATATGATCAGGCTGTTCCCTGGAGCAGATGTGGCTCTGCAACTGTTGACCCCCATGGAGGGAGTCCACACCTTGTGCAGATGCTGGTGCTGATGACCATGTGTGGTATGTTCGGAGACCTTCTGTTCCTTGCTGGGGCTGGGAGCTGCCCAGACTGCTGAGGTCTCTCTGGGCACTCATTCATGAGAAGGTAGGCAGAGAGCACAGCTCAACTCTCTCCTTCTCCCAGCTGAGATTTGAGAGTGATTGAGACAGTACCTTCAGCACTGGCTTTGAGGATTTTGCCTCTTCTTGAGCCAACCTATAAAACTACCCTGGGACATGAAGGGGGGAGAAGGTGGGTTGAGTGAGCTGTAAATATGAAAGACTTGAAAATAAACCCTCTCTCACGGGGAAGGAAGCATGGAAGCAAGAACCAGACTGAGACACAGGGAATTGAGGGGATACCTAAAGAAAGGAGAGATCTTGAGGTGCCATCAGCACATGGACTGCCTTTCTGAAAAGGTGGTGTCTATGTGGACCTGGGGAGCTTCATCTTCTCCTTGGTTTAAGAGCTGAAGAAAAGAATTCTGTTATTCTTGGTGGACTGTCCAGTCACTCTTGAGTCCCTTCTTGAGATGCAGAAGCAGCTTTTCACTCCCAGCTTCGCATCCTGCCCATGTTCTACTCCTGTGTTTGAGTGAAACTTGGCCAGATTTTAGCCCCTGTCACAGCTTGTTCTACACAGGTAGCACAGGTTCTACACAGGCCCAGGACTGCTAGCTCATCAAGCATCATGACTGTTTCCCAGTCCAGATGTAATCTGGACTTATCCAAGAGTCACATCACCCAGGGAAGGAAGTAGTGTCCAAACACAGCCCAGATGAACTGGATAAGCCCCCATTGTGGAGGCAAGGATGAACTAAAGGTAGGGGAGCCTCATTCAGATAGGGCAAGGTCAATGGCTACAGAGTGCTCATGGCACAGAATTATGTCCTTTAACTGAGACATCAAGTTTAAGAGAATATCAATGTGTTTTGTGGAAACAGTAATGTTTGTCCTATTGAAATGTCTCTCAGGTATCTCATGCAGTTGACAGAGTATTGCTCTCTCTCACATATGATTTTTTGCTCAAAGACCCAAACTCTAGTTTTCTGTTCGGGTCTCAGTTACACACAAGTATGTGGCTACAGTGACAACTGTTGTTTTTCCTATGTAGCTTGAAGGCTTTTTTTCCTGAGGAATCTCCTCTGTATACTCAGCTCCTTATGTCTGCTGTCTGAATGTCCAAAATGTACTTGATTGTTTCTCTTTTTTCTCATGTTCATTCTCAGTTCATATTCTCTTTTATGCATTTCAGAGTTAGGTCAATGCACAATGTCCAAAAAGGGCGAACAGTCTGCGCAGAAGGACAGTCACATATTTAAAGAAAGACTATATGCTGAAAGCATTCTGTCTCTAAAAGCAAACACAGACTATGCCTATGGAAGAGTTTAACATCCACTTTGAGCAGGCAGGGAGTCCTTTACCAGCCTCACACTCTAACAAAAAACAGCACTTGGGAAGACCCCTCCAAACACAAGACATCAGCAGGCACCTAAGCTTTTCTGACCCCTGGTTCTTGTCCCCTCTCTGGTTTGCAAACCCTTGCCTTACTGCATGAATCTGTTCCTCCTGGACTGCTCTGTGCCACTGCTGACAGTACAATCTCTGCAGTCTCTTCACCTTTCCCGTGGAAAGACATGTCTGCAGGACCAGACTCTCACTCTGACATGTGCTGTAACATAATAGCAGCTCAATCATGCCCTGCAATAAGCTGAAAAACTGAATCCACTTTGCTTCCACACTAGATGCTCTGTTTCTATACTGGGATGTGGCAAACATTCACTTTTTGCTTATTAAACCCAATTATTTTGCACTTGAAAAGCCTATTTGTTCATAATATTTATCTGTTCCAGCATGCATACATCTTCCTTATGGGCTCTGCTGGGGTGACACCTCAGTCCTCATTACAGGATTGAGTGTGGCTGTCGAGACAGCATTAACCCACCAGCAGGGTCTTTACAACAACATCATCTTAATAGGACCTGCTGTACACTGAGATACTCTTTGGTGCAGCCATGTGCTGTTTATTTGTGTCATGCTGTTACAGAAGATGAGATAGGAAGCCTTGAATAAATACCTTGGCCTGAAACAGAACATCACACATAAGTAACATATCATGCTTAAAATAAGGAAGACAGAATAGCCATTGTGAATTTATGTTTCTTTTTTGATTCACATCAAAAACTTACGGAGCATAGGTGAAGGTGAAGAAAAGATAGAAATCTTCCACGTTTCTTGTTGAAACTGAAAAAGCAAACCTGATAATTTAGGGTTAACCCTTGTTAGAAATGTTTTCTCTGTAGTGATAAAAGCCTATTGAAATCAAGATCACTTTTTCCATTCCGAAAGAAAAATAGTGAAGAAAAGAAAAATTGTTCTTCCTAAAATATTGGCCTTTCCATAGTTAAGTTCATCATTAAAAATATCAGAAATAGACATTTCCATATGTAAAAAAGATTGCTTTCAGTCTTATTTGCAGATTTTCCACATGAATTTGTGAATACATTAATCTTCTCTTAAGTTCTTTTTCTGATGGAAAAAATAGTGGGAGATCATCAGCTGTATTAAGTGGCAAACATTGGACTACAATACAAGTTTGCTCAACCCATTCTCAGAGAGGAGCCTTCTATCTTTTCTTCACTGATGGGACCTCCTCAAATACAGAGCAGGACTCCTGTAGAAGGTCCAGCCATCTGTGGGTAGGGCTCTAGCTCAAAAACAGCCCCATCGATTTGCACGAAGTACTCCTGCTCCAGAGTAAGTTACTGTTTCATGGGAGTAAGAGTGCTCCATGGGAGGACAGGATGGGAATAACAGG